ACTAGTAGCGATGCACTTGTTCCTAGTAGCGTCCTTGTTCCTAGTAGCAAGGCCAGGAGCTACAGTAGCGTTCTTGCTTCTAGTAGCGATGCCCTTTGTTCCTAGTTCTAACACAAGACAGCTTTCACAAGCTCTGAGCACTTCTTTTTTTGCGTTGTTTACATGTTTCTTTGGAGCGTCCTTTCTTCGACTTCACTTCCCCAGATAAGAATTCTCTATTTTCATAATGATCGTTTGGCAAAAATGCACAACAGATGGCCCTGGCAGTACAAAGACTACATGCACGACGCAGTCAGCTGCACTAAGCCACGGCATTCTGCCTCCAAACTATATAACACTACTATAGCTACATGTTGTTTTCATCAAAGTGTTATCCCTATGACTTACATTTCCAAAAACAAAGCAGGCATGCAGGAGATGACTCGAGACTCACATCCCAAGCCCTTGTTACTGGTAGCGATGCCCCTGCTACTAGTAGCTTCTAGCTATAGCTACTAGTAGCGATGTCCTTGTAGAAGTTCTTTTCCGATTCTATGTCCATTCTGCTGTCCAATTAGTGATGCCATTCTGTCGGTTTGCGCAGATGCCTTTCTGCCGGGACGACTTTGTTGGTGCAGATTTGGAGCCTCGAATTCTCCAAGCTTTGGCAAAGTGTGAAGCCAAGCAGGCACGAGCAAGGACGCTACTAGGGGCTCCTGGCATCGCTACTAGGAGCAAGGACGCCACAGCGGAAGACATGGCAGGTGGAGGTGGTCTACAAGGGATTCAATCCGACCTATGACTCATTCAGTGCAATGCATCATGCTGCAAGCAGAAACTTGGCGCTTTAAAAGAACACGAATCGCACAATGGCCTTCAACCTACAAGTGATGGCCTCCACAAGTTCTCGATGTTGGATTTGAATTACAAGCGAGAATTCTCAGGCGATGAGCACGAGCGAAACAACACTGGCGCATTTGCTTTGGAAGAGAACAGAAGTCGGGCGTGCCACGGCAAGTGGGAGGTCAATGCAACCTGTGGGGATTCTCAGCACCAACCCAGCTCTTCCGAATTGAATTGAATTGTTGTTGCCCGAAAGCGAAGAATGTTCGTTTAGCTCAGGGGGGTTGGGGGCCAGATGGTCCTCGCTCGGTGTTGCTTAGCTTCTGCAAGTATGCGTAAGCGTGCCCAACCATTTTGGATGGATGAACAAAATGTTTGAAGCAACGTGCAAACGAGAGACACACAATCACAAAGATTGTCGCACAAGGGCACTAGACAAGTGTCACAAAAGAGTGTGCCACAAGAGTGTCCTGCAAGAGGGTTACAGAGTTTGTGACATTGATTTGTTACAATTAGGTTCGCATTACAATTAGGACGCCACTAGGGGCTCCTGGCCTTACTACTAGGAACAAGAAGCTACTAGGAACAAAGGGCATCGCTACGAACGGAGCAAGGACGCTATTGAAGGCCATCGCTTCTAGGTTGGAGGCCAACGCTATGGATTCGTGCGCGGGTGTTGCATTCGGGATCTTGGGCTCAGATTTCTGGACCTTCGGAACTAAAAGGAGAAAAGAATGGAAGAAGAACAAGAAAAGAAAACAGAAACCTCATAGCGGTGGCCTCCAACCTACAAGCCTTTTTTCATGTCAATGTGGAGAGCCTTATTGCCTTGGTCTGTTTTACTCCAAGGCTACCCGACTGTGGAGCAACTTAAGACAACAGGCGAGTTGCTGTTCAGATTGAAGTCAGTTTCTCCCAAGAACCTCAACTTGTTAACTAGTAGCGTCCTTGTTACTAGTAGTAAGGCACTTGTTACTAGTAGCGATGCACTTGTTACTAATAGCTTCTTGTTCAGATTGAAAATGATGTTTTTGCAAATGGTTGTTGGTGAGAAAGACCTCAGTTTTCCACGTTTGACGCACCAAATGTTTGCCAGATGGTCTACGCAACTTCTCGTCAATTTTGATGACAAGGGGAATTAAGAAGATCCCCGGCACAAGTTTGCCTTAACTTTTTTTTGTGTCTTACATTTGATAGAGTCATGTTCGCGCTTGCTGAGGATCGTCACAGTGGGCTTGGTCTACGATTATTGTGTGAAGGACACTGATCACAGCAGCTTCCTGTGTAGAGTTTTTATTGAATAATATGGAGCTCGCCGCGAAGAAATAGGAAGTTTCATGAAAGTGAGGAGACAGCAATCTTCACACGAGAGAACATGCCGGAGATGGAGGTCATTGTACTGAGCCACCTTACCCGACCAAGTTTTGATGGAAAGCCTGGGGCCGTTTTGCTGCAATAGTTTCGACCGAAACGCAATAGGGCACATAGAAGTCGCCTCGCTATCAACTGCGACGGTGGTGGGTGTGCTTTGCAGTTGGGTCCATAGAATGGCAGTTCACCATTTAAACGCTAAATCAATCTATCAACCATTTGCAGAAACATGCTTGACCAGTAGATCCAAATTGCGTCATGAGGCTCCTTACACCGCTGCTTTGTGTGATGGCCGCGACTTGGGCAACGGTAGAGTTCTCAGACTGAAGCGGAGGCCGAAGAGGTAGGGAGAGGTAGCGAACTTACTTAATCTACCGACTGGACGCAGGATAGCCAATCGCTATTCATTTGGTTTCTAGATTTTAGGTGGCGCGCCTTGTTGCATGCTCTGGTTTTCCCAGGCTTTTGTTCCGAAGGTGGAGGCACCAAAGCCGCGTTCCTTGGGCCAGAACACAAAGCCACAAGTCAAGCTTAAACCCGAAAGAAAAGAGAGGAAAGGTCCGGAGAAAAGAAGGCTTGGGAGAAGCGATTGGTCTGAGCGGTCTGAGCTGCTGAGCATTTATCGTGTCTTCATGAAAGAAGAGGATGGTCTGGGATCGTGTCCCCATGAAGCGTCATATAGTAACAAATAGCACTGGCCTCCCACCTAGTAGCGACGGCCTCCAACCTACTAGCAATAGCCTCCAGTCTGCTAGCATTGTCTTCTAGTAGACAGCCTGGAGTTTGTCCTTGGCCAGTGAGGCACCAGAAAGTCCTCGCCGATTACAAGTCCAATGATGTTGCCTTTGTCCGTGAGAAGCAAAATCAATATGTAGAAGACGATTCAAAGCAATCTCAGGAAGACGAGTAGTGGAAAAGGTGGTTGAGCCAAGCATAAGAAATCTTGGCAAAGCAATCATGCAAGGTTGTTTAGAGTTTCATACACCCATGAACTTCCTGTAGTGTAATTCCTAAGAATAAGTTCCTTTGATGCTGTGACTGCATTCGTGTGAATCGGTTTCATGCTAGTTGCGCTTGAATCAGTTCGAATGGACACAGCTTGGAAGACCCTGTCCAAAATACTTTCAGCAATCCATCCAGCTAAATAAGACCTCGTTTTGTATCATTGATCATTTCATCCGGCGCTTTGCAGAACAGCAAGAATCGAAAGAGGTTCTATTTCAAACAAGGGACACGGTCAGACAGAAGTAGTACAGGAAGGGAACAGACAGGCCGAAATGTGCTGATGTGTTTTTTGCAGCATGATGGCATTGGAAGCCGTGGAGACTCGGCAGAAAGCAAAAGTCACAAGTCGCATGTGACTTTGGACTATTTCAACAAGCTGATGAGTGAAAGCCAATTGGCCAAGGTTTGAGATAGAACGGAGGAACCTACTGCTTCCACTACCAGTTATAAAGCATTTGCTGTTTGCAAACATTCGCATTGGCTTCTTCGAGCTCACGGCTTGAGCATGCCGAAGTCTGGCTCCCGAGACTTCAAGTCGGTTGGATTTGGCAATGCTTTCATGTCGTATCAAGGAAGAATTTAATGATTTTCTCCTTGTATCGTTTGCATGCTGCTTTTTGAGCTCATGTGGAACCGCGCTTCTGAGCATAGCTTGGGACCCGGAACGCTCTTGCGATGTCCGACAGTGAGAAGGTCCTGGCGAGTTTTCGCAAGTTTGATGCGGATTCGTCTGGTGCGATCAGCCGAGAAGAGCTCGGAGAAGTGCTAAAGGCGACACGGACAAGAGAGACCAAGCAAAAGAGAGGACGTTTGGAATCTCTAGAGAGGGTGTAATGTTGGTGTTGCTTGCTAGTGACTGTAGTCTACTTCTACATTGTGCTTGCAGATCTTCAAGCTGAGACCAAACACAAAACTTAGCTGTTGGAGGCCATCGCTTCTAGGTTGGAGGCCATCGCTAGCAGGTTGGAAGCCATTGCTATTGTGTTGCAGGCCATTGCTATTAGGTTGGAAGCCATTGCTAGTACGTTGGAGGCCATTGTTATTAGGGACCAAAAACATTTTTCAGCTTAGGGACTTGAACAGCCCTAGCCGGCCAGGCCTTGGATGAGGGAGCATGGAATGATGAGTCCATTGATGTTTTGCTCGCACAAGCCGATGCCAGCGGCGATGGCCAATTGCAGTTCCAGGAGTTTCTGTCGTGGGTCTTTGCAGAAGACCAAAAGGGCCTTGGTGCTGCTACAGGAGACTTCACCTTGGTCATTACAGGATGCTCTCGCGAGTCATTGAATGGTGAGTATGCGCAAGTCAAGGGAAAAGTCTGCGGTGGTCGACCGGTCTTTCGCTGTGCCGCAAACAACAAAATTCTCTTCTACCGCCGCCAGGAAGAGAGGTGGCAAGTCTTCCACAAACCAGGAAAATTCTCGAGTTGCCGCCTGCCCACCAAACGCGCGGCGCACATGGCAGGCGATGCCAAGTGGATGGTGTGGCAGCCAGAGAAGAAGGCCTTCGAAGAGGAGAGTTCGATGGAATGCAAGATCCTCATTCCCGATCGCAAAGAAGAGCTCGCAAAGGCACCAGATATCTTGCGACCCAGCAACACTGCACCTTATGGCACCTTCACAAGAAGAGGCTGCTGGATGGTGGATCGACGTCCACTCTACTTTTGTGGCGAGGATGATACGTTCCTGATCTATTCAGAGAAGGTGCAGACGTCTGATCAAAAAAACTCTATGTTACAAAGTTGAATAGAAATGCCTAGACAGTATTTGTGTAGAGTGAAAAGCTCGAAACTTGTTGGGGTAAAGGCCAAGACCTGCACCTTCTGTGCACCCAAGGTGCAGAAGTGGAAGATTTGCAGGATGGCCAAGGAAGACGACGGGACAAGTGATGGTCCTGTCGTCGCTGACAGGGAGAACCTTGAGCGTGAAAACTTCGACTATTCATTGGACTACATTCCGGGCTACATGAAGAATGGCAAACGTGCTATCGACAACATCAACACGGAAAAGCTAGATTATGAATACATCAGCCGAATCGGCCTCGGCTATTCTTTTCCACTTGGATGGAGTGAGCAGACAACATCCTACAGCCCGGCCAAGGCCACGTGGCACCACCCAGAGGAAGATTATGTGATCACATGGGAAGCAGTTGATCCTACACCGAGCCCAGACCCAGAGGCAGGCTGGATTGATCCAGCCTTTCCTCATGACTCCTTTAGCCTGGGTGATCCAGCCAAAGTGAAGTTTAAAAGGTCGGCCTGGGTGAGAGCCATTCACTTGTGTAAAGACCCTGTCCTTTTCGGGGATTTGGAACCAGCAGATGCCATTCAGGGCGCAATGGGTAACTGCGGCATGGTCGCAGCGCTGGCCGCGCTGGCGGAATTTCCTGAGTACCTCAGCTCGCTCTTCAACACAAAGGAACTTTCGGTGGATGGGAATGGCCTCCACCCTCAGTAGCGATGGCCTCCACCCTCAGTAGCGACGGCCTCCGCCGTAGTAGCGATGGCCTCCACCCTTAGGCCTCCACCCCTTAGTAGCGATGGCCTCCACCCTTAGTAGCGATGG